CGTCCTCCTCTTTCAATGTATGTTCCTACGATGTATTTGCTGAACCCTATACAACACGACGGTAAGAAGGAGAGAGGAATTTTTTTTTTTTTTTTTTTTAGGGAAGTGGCAATAGTGAAACGGACACGCAAAAAGGAAAAACAAAAAGGAAAGGGAAGGAAGTAACATTTCTGTGGTTCTCCATCTCTCTTTGCAATATATATATATATATAATGCTTGCATGCATCAGCACCATTTGAACGACGTTTTTTTTTTTTTGTTGTTGTTGTTGTTGTTTTTTGATTGTTTTTCCCTTCCGCAGTTTATTTCCTCAACATATCTGTCCACAGTGTAAAAATTTCTTCATTGAGGCTTCTACGCACGAGGCTCTCACCCCTCCTTTCCCTTTTTTTTTTTTTTTTTTTCTGTCTCTTTTTTTCTTTTTGCTTCAATGTTGTTTTTTGGGTTTTCATTGTTTTCTTTTTTTTTTTTTTTCCCCTATTTTACATATGAAACAGGAAGTGCCTTTGTCTCTATTAAAAACTAGGGGGGAGGGGGGCATAGCAGGCATGAGTGCGTTCTTTGATTTTGAAACGATCGCCTACGTGCTTCTTCTTGTCATTTGCACGGCGACTTACCTGCGACAGTATCGGCCTACACTTTTTCATCGTGATCATAATGAGCTTTACCGCAAGTTTCTTTACAAGTGTAGTGTCATTGGCGATAGACTTTCTTTGTGGGTAGCGCTTGGCTGTTTTGTCATTGCGATGAGGATGCTCTTTGTGTACTAAATACACCAGAGGGAAGGAAAAGATTGGAGGGATTGCTGCGTTTGTCTTTTTTTTTTTTTTTCTATTTATTAAAGAGCGTAGCTGGTGGTGCGGGTGTATATATATATAGACGTTGGTGTTGTTTTTTTTTTTTTTTGCCAACATCTTGTTTATGATGTGCGACGCGTGACCACTGTCTGCTCCTTTATACTTGTTGGTGCTACTGGGGGTGGTGGTGTGGACTTCTGATTGGTATTTGCGTCTGTGGTTTCAAGAAGAAGTGTCTTGTTGTTTGTTTGTTTGCGATTGGTAGAGGCTGCTCTTGACTTTGTTCATGTATTTCTTGTTCCTTCGCTTCTCTTTTCCTTATTTGTTGTTGTTGTTGTTTCCGGCGTGTGTTTAAATTCTTCAAACGCCCCTGTCACCTGTTTTTCCTTTCATCCTATTTTCGTTCTGCAGACTCATGAAAAATGCCCCCTTTCCATTTTGTTTTTGTTTTTGTTTTTTTCTCTCCTGCTCTCTCGGTGGCAAAAAGAGGGTGTATAAATATACATACATACATAAATACATACATATAATATATAAGGGTGTGGAATTTGCCTATCAAGGGCCGGCGACATTTGTTTTGACGCATCGTTGCCGCCGTGGAAATAGGAGGGAAGCAAGCAAACAAACAACAAACAACAAAAAAAAAAAGAATAACCATTACGAGGAAGCGAGAAACGTATGCGGGGCTCACACTCGCTCCGGGCCGCACTGCGTCGGACAGCCGCACTGTTCACAATCAGCGATGAATATATCCCGCGTGCCTTTCCGGTGAAGTCTACAACGGGCTTGGCAGGTGTTGCAGTAGAACCGCTATGGAAGCCGAAAATGCTTGCCGCGGCGGCAGAGTTGCAGGCGTTTTTGACCACCTCCGACATCCCGCCCGAGTCGACGTACTACAATATCGCCATGACACTCGTGAAACGCATCAACCACGGAATCAAGGAGTGCCAGGATGACTGGTGCACTTTGGAGAAGCGGTACTTCTGGGGGTGGCCCGTGGAGTACATTCTCCAGGTGACATGGAGGGAGTTGGAGACAGCGCAAAAGTGGAACGAGTGGCGTTTTTGGGAGCTGGACCCGGAGCAGGTTAAGAAGGTTGCGCGGGAAGACCAGAATATCGGTAGGGAAGGACTTGGCTACAACAGTCCCTGGGAGCAAGTCGTCCGGGAGGACTTTGACAAGCGCAAGAAGGCCTTAACACAGGAAGAGATGGCAGAACTGAAGCGCATGGACACAGAACGCATGGCACGAGAGACGGCCGCGTACAAGGAACGCAAAGACCGCATTCGCGATGACTTGGAGAAGGCACGTGGTGACATGCTGAAGAAATTTTTGAATAAGCGTTTTGCCGTGGACAAGGACCTCCAGCGGATGCAGCCGGGCAAACGTTACAGCGGCAAAACTTCGGAGGACCTCATCGCCGAGCTCAAGTCTTCGGTGCAAAACAATCCACAGAAGCAGGATCCGAAGAAGTGAAACTTGAAATCTCTGGTTGGATATGCATCAATTAGAACATTTTATTTGGTTTGGTCTCTTGCTCCTGCATTTACCGCGGTTTTCTTATTCATGATTCACTGCTTTATTTTTTTTTTTTTTTTGCTGTGTGTGCTCATCCAGTTGACTGGAGAGGCTGGCCGTCCCTGTGTTTGTTGCATTTTTTTATGCATATGTGGAAAGGAATAAAATATGGAGTTGACGGTGAGGAGGTTTGAAGAGGAATTGGGGGAAAGAAACAAAGAAGGGGAGAGGAGGAAAAAAAGGGGAGACGAAAATAAATAAAAAATGGCATGAAACAGTAAGAGGACTAACACTTATGGGGGTTTGGATTTAGGGCGGGAAAGGATTGGAGCTTGGCTGGGTGTGGATGGGAGAGTGGGTGGGAAGCTAGGGGTGTGAGTGTAGGTAGTAGGCACATGAACAAGGGAGTGAGTGATGAATGAATGAATGTGACAGTGATTGATAATATATATATAGAGAGAGAAAAGGAGAGAGAGAGGGTGGAGGGAGTGTGCAAATATGTGGGTGCATTTCTGGAAAGACAAAAAGGGACGACTTCTGTTTATATCCGTTTACAATGGGTGTGATGGTTGCTTCGCGTCTTGGCGATATATGGACTCTTGTGGGTAATTTTTCTCTCTTGCCATTTTTTTGCTTCCTTCGTCCCGGTGTTAAGTAATGACGTCACCGGAATCATTGCGTCGTATTGTAGAGGAGTGTGTTGTTGTTGTTGTTGTTGTTGTTGTTGTTGAAATCGTTGCGGCTGGACGGTAATGAATGCCTGGGGAGGAGAAGGAAAGGACGGGTTGGTGTCTATGTGTTTGTATGTCTGTATGTTGGGTGGGTGGCCGGTGTGTGCGTTGCTGCTTTCCTGCCACACCACGCGTGTGGGTTTTGTGTGTGCGTAACGGTGTTGGAATTGCGAAGTACTATTGGAAGGAGTTTATGTAGCGGCTTCTTTCACACAGAAGAGGTTATTTACTTCCTTTGCGTGCGTATTTATGTTTATTTCTTTTTTTTTTTTTTTTTTGTTGTTGTTGTTTTTCCACGTGCTGTGGAGGAATATGTGGTGATGATGGTTGTGGTAGTGTTTTATTGCGGTCCTCATTTGTGAATCACCGCGTGCGTGTATGTATGTATATGTATGTATGTATATGTGTTGTTGTTTTTTTTCGTTTCTTTATTCATTCCCTCCCCACGCACAAGTCTTTTGGCCGGTGAAGCCGGGGCCCATCAGAGCTAGTGTGTGTGTGTGTGTGTGTGTACATACGATAGGAGGAAGAAGAAGACGGAGTCAGAAAAAAGAGAAAAACGGGAGGGTGAAACTGTAAATAAGTTAGCACGGCGAGGGGAAAAATATTGACGCAAACATGTCGCTTTCATTTATCGAGTCAGGGTTTGTTCCGTCTGATGGCATGCGCCGCGGTGTGGAGGCGGCAGACACCTCCGCAGCTGCCGAGCTTCTGCATCTCGCTGTACCACCGTTGATGGAAGCTGGAGGCAAGACACGTGTTTGCGTGGCCTTTTACGAGGCGGCTCAGTGCCCATTTGACAGCCGTTGTGAACATGCGCATCACTTCTCCGAGCTGAACGGATACACGCAAAACAAACTCCTTGAGACGGTGCCGGTGGAGAGCATCCCGAAGCACTTTATGGCGCCACGTAACAGCAACAGCAGTAGCGGAAACAACAAAAACGATCGCACGTTTTACGCGACGGATGGAAACGCCGCCAATTACACCGCGACAGCTGCCGTGGACGGTGGTGTTGCCCACCGCTCACTGGGTGGCGGGCACGGTGAGAAGGAGAAAACGAGCAGCAATCGTCGCAGTAAGCGGACTGCTCGCCTGTATGATATCAGCGGCAGCAACGCGAATTTGTGTGACAACTCCTTGTCAAGTCTTGCCTCCAGCACCGACACGCTCCTCCTTCTCGGCAGCGTACACGACTCAAAGGACGTCTCACCGCAAAAGGGGACGCGCCGGGATGAGGGCATGGAAGCATTTCGCATTCGCCTTCCACCGCGCTGCCGTTACCCACACCGAAACACGCGCGGCACGTATTATGATGTCCTTGGCATCCAACGCACCGCGACGCAGGAAGAAATTATTGCGAGTTACCGCCGCTGGCAAAAGGAGTACAAAAGTATGAAACAAGTTGACCCGCAGGGCGCAGACGCCCATGACACCATCGTCGTTGAGGCCCGCAATGTCCTTGGCCATCCCGTGCTCCGTAGCGAGTACGACCGCACAGTCTCTGCCTTCTGGAGTAACAACATCAACTGCAGTAAGGATGTGACACGGGGTACGGCCACCCTTTCATCGGCGAATTCCTCTCGCTCAATCAACATGGAAGCCACCACTAATACCATGCGCATAGCTAACGGTCTCTCCAGCGCGGATATGATGTCACTTACACAATCGGGGCTGCCTGAGGACAGCATCTGGTGAGGGCTGCGAGAGCAAGAAGGGAAGGAAAGAAATATTCCCAAAACATAAACACAGAAACCCAAAAAAAAAAAAAAAAAGTGTGTGTGTGTGTGTTTGTGGGAAAAACGTTTAGAATGAATTAAAGGAAATGTTTAGGCGCAGCTTGTGCGTGTTTTCGTCATGACTTTTTCATGTGCTTAGTTTTCTTTTGATTTGCCTGTGGATTTAGGTGGGTGGGATGCTGGCACGGAGTTGTGGCGTGCGGTGCACCATTTGGCGGCTCTTTGAAGGAGACGATGAGCCTTATTTTTATTTATTATTATTATTATTCTCCAAATAATGACGGTGTTTGCATCCCACATCCTTCTGCCTGAATTCACCTGCACAGTGGTCCCCACCCTTCAGCGCAGCAATATACATGCCACGCAGAGGCAAAAAAAAAAAAAAAAAAAGGAAACAGTGAAATGTAGGGAATGACAATGTTGACGAAGATTTCTTTTAGATCTGTTTTGTATACATACACAAAAAAAAAAAATAATATATATATATATATATATATTATCTACATGTATTAGATGTTACTCACGCTTTTACCCTTACTAAACCCCCCTTGAAAGTAGTCAAGAGGGAAAACAAAACATACACACGAACAAAGAAAAAAGGAAAAAAAAAAAAAGGATAAAAATAAATAAATAATAAGCGGTGGGGAACTTCCGTGGTTTTTTGTTGTTTGTTTGTTTGGGCGTCATTGCTCTACACATATGCACGCATTGTTTGTAAGTGTGAGAAAGAGAGGAGAGTGAAGTGGGACAAAATTGCCTTGTATTCATGTTTAATGGAACTTTGCCTGCAATATTCTTTCTACACTTTGCAACTGTTTTATTCTTATTGTTATTAACATTACTGCTATTATTATTATTATTTTTTTTTTTTGTTTGTGTGTGTGTGTTAGCCTTTTTCTTTGCATATTTTGCACGCAGCACAATGGCCAAGAAGAACAAGACGAAGGTGGACACGATCAACACCAAGATCCAGCTTGTGATGAAGTCCGGCAAGTACGTGCTTGGAACGAAGCAGACTCTCAAGACCCTGCGCCAGGGCCGCAGCAAGCTTGTCGTGATCTCCAGCAACTGCCCTCCCATCCGCAAGGCAGAGATTGAGTACTACTGCACGCTGAGCAAGACCCCTATGCACCACTACGCTGGAAACAACCTTGACCTCGGAACAGCGTGCGGCCGGCACTTCCGTAGCTGCGTTTTGTCCATCACGGACGTTGGCGACTCTGACATCACCTCCGCGTGAGTGGATGGAAGAAGTTCGCGGCATCAAATGAAAGAAGAGGCTCTCTTATTACTGCTTTTCTTTTTTTTTTTTTTTTCTATTGACTGAGATTTTCAATCTGACGGCCTTTGCATGTTTTCCTCTCTGCCACCGGTACAACTTCTCTTGTCTTTAACTTTACTTTAATCCTTGTTGGTCATCTGTCTCCTCTTCCTTTTTTTTTTTTTTTTTTTTTCCCCTCACACTGTATGACTTTATTTTGACGCCCCACATGCAGGATCCATCCACGCAGCACAATGGCCAAGAAGAACAAGACGAAGGTGGACACGATCAACACCAAGATCCAGCTTGTGATGAAGTCCGGCAAGCATGTGCTTGGAACGAAGCAGACTCTCAAGACCCTGCGCCAGGGCCGCAGCAAGCTTGTCGTGATCTCCAGCAACTGCCCTCCCATCCGCAAGGCAGAGATTGAGTACTACTGCACGCTGAGCAAGACCCCTATGCACCACTACGCTGGAAACAACCTTGACCTCGGAACAGCGTGCGGCCGGCACTTCCGTAGCTGCGTTTTGTCCATCACGGACGTTGGCGACTCTGACATCACCTCCGCGTGAGTGGATGGAAGAAAAAATTTTTTTTTTTCTTTGGTAAGCAGGGATCCCAAACGTTGCATTTATTTATTGCTTTCAGCTTTTTCATCATTTTTCCAATACTTTTTTTTTGTGTGTGGGTGAGTGGGGGGTTGGCAATTACAGAGTCTTGTTGTGTGCGGATTGTTTCATATGTGTATTTATGTACGTAAGTAAGTTGAGTTCACTTCTTGTGGTTTCTTTTTTTTTTTTTTTTAGATATATATTTTTTTATTTTTTTATTTTTTTTTCATTGTGTGTGTGTGGGGTGAGTGATCTGACTTTCGTTTGCGCGGGGATCTGAGCACGACAGTTCTCTGACAGCGATGCAGGGGTCTTCTCTCAGTCGCCGCGTTCGCGTAGGAGGAGTCGAGCCGGAGGACGCTGTGCTGCGGGCGGAGCTGTTTCGTACGTTTGCAAGCTACGGCGTCATTGAAGAGGCGTGCTTTGAGGAGGATCGTGCCTTTCACAGCGGCGCAGCCATTATTCAGTTCCAGCGAATTTCCGCCTCGGAAAAGTTGCAAAACGACGTTGAGGAAACAGGGCGGCGGTGGTTTCTTAGCTTTCTCCCGCCCAGTGTTCATGTCGGGGCGGAATTGCTTGTGACGTCTCCGAAGGCCATTGACACGTCGTACTTGCGCTCACTCGTCGGGGAGGGCGTGAAAATCGAGGAGAAGTTATTGTCTTTTCCAGGAGCCAAACGCATTGGGTCGACAACTGCTGAGGAGGGAGCAGTGGATTATGGAAGCAAAAATGCTGGGGCCAGAGATGTCTTTATTAAGGCATTGTCGTCTGTCCGAGCCCACGCCATTGGTCGGTTTGCTGTGTTGATGCAATTTGCCACCGTTCATGACGCGAACGAGTTTCTCACCACTCATCAGATGCCTTTTTTGACATCCAATGAAATGTATGTGGTGCATGTGGGGCCCGACGCGGCGCTTCAGCATGCCTTGAAGCACATTCTACTAACACGGCGATCGGCGAAGGATGTGGCTAAGGGAAGCGTGTTGCGTGGATTCGTCCTTCCACAGCACCAGAGCGGCAATATCGGCGGTAGTGGTGGTGGTGGTGGTGGCAATCGTATGATCACATGCGAGGTAGACGCCGGACTGATACGGAAAGGCCGACCGGTTTTTCTGCACACACAAACCAACTTTGTCAAGGTTTCTCCCTGGGACATTGTTGAGGTGCGACTGACATCCGCTGATGGTGAGGCAAGCGAGAACCTTGAGGCGGAGTTGCGCGGTGTTGTAAACGCGGCATCTGGCACTACTGAGGCACAAAAGCCTACAGTCCTTTTTCAGCGATTACGACAAGCGGGTGGCTCCTCTTCTTCCTCTTCGTCGATGTCTACCTCTGCGAGTTCCAAGAAGGCTCTCGCAGGGAAACTCTATCAGGCGTTGCACGCACGGAAGACAGAGCCAGACAGTGCGGGAGAGCAGCTGCACAGCTTTCCACAAGGACTTCATGCCTTTTCCGTGGTGTCGGTCTGCATCCAACGAGTGGGGGACGACGGATTGTACGCGCGGACGATATTGCCGCCACACGCGACGTCGAGTACGCCGTCCCGCGAATGGCCGGTATTTGTACCCTCCATTTTTGTTCCCTGTGAAGGTGGCATGGACTGGAAGGACTTTGCCGTTCCCGGGGAACGTATGTCAGTGACGCTCCTGTACGCCACAGCAGTCGGCGGTAGTGAAGCGGCCTTGCGACTCGTTGCTTCAAAACGTGAGGCAGATATGCGGCGTGCGTCTGCCTTTTTTGTGTCAGCTGCGACCCCTGGTGCGAAGGATGGGGCAGGAGGTGGTTTAAACAGCACGAAAACCCTATCCGTGGGCACTTCATTTAGCGGAATTCGTGCCGTTTGGCTTCCTCGCACGCCCAGCACGGACAATCCGGTGTACATTCTTCTGCCGTCATCGTCGTCACCTTCGGTGTTGTTCACGATCACCGTTCTCATGCACGCCACCGAGAGTCCTACGGATCACCAGACGCCCGAGACAATGACGATGGATGCGGGATTACACCCCTTTGTCATTGCTAGCATTGTGAACAGCGATCGTCTTGGTCACTATGCGGTGGCGGTGGAGGAAGCGGTGTATCGCCAGATGGAGGCTGAGCGGCGTGCCGCAGAGGTCCAGAAGGAATCCGAGCAGGATGCGATGCTGCAACGCATAATGACGGAGGTGTTTTCGAACGGCGCATCCGTCCCAGCAGGAGACGGGGACGACTCCGCGCAGAGCCGCAAGCGTCCGCGTTCTTCCCAGAAGGAGTAATGCCTTTAAACGTTCTAAAGGCACAGGAACTCACTCCCAGCTGGCAAATAAAAGGAAAGAAGAAACAAACACATGCCTTAAGACTTTCACCATTTTTTTTTTTATGAGATGCGGTTTGTGCTCCACGATTTTTTTTTTTTTTGCACCTTTATTGCATTCTTGTGTATAATTTTTTTCTTTTTCTTTTCTTTGTATATGTGGCCGCCATAATTCTTTTTTATTTCTGAAGGATCCTAAACACAGGGGTCATTCTAATTTCTCCACCAACAACAATTGACCCGTAAAGTCCTCTGCTCTTCACGTGTGGTTTTCTGTAAAAAAATAAATAAAAAAAAATAGGTACATATACAGTTGCCTGCGAAGGAATGATGGAGGCGACTCTGGAAACACTGTTGCTTTCGGGGGCAGTGTCGTGCCGGTTTATTTGGCGTAAGCGACAAAAAGTCATGCGGACAATTGAGATTCACACGGATGGCGTGCTTTACTGCTTTGATGAGCCCAAAGATTCCATGGCGAAAAATCTAAGGGAGCGGTTATACCTTTTTGGTTCACGTGTGGTGGACTGTGGCACGCACCGTGGCCGCCTTTGTTTTGGTTTGGAGCTTGCGGACGCTTCGAGTGTGGAACAACTGCGTCCTTCTGGCCTTTTCACTTCGTTACGGACATCCGCCCCGGTAAGTCCATTGAAGAATGAGGGATCTTTGAGCAAGATATTTGTAGCTTTTTTCTTTGTTGGCAATAAACTACTTAAGTGGAGGTTTATTCATCTCCTGCGCCTTGCATCGTCAGCTTCGCCACCATTTTTGGCGCTGCAGCAGCAAGAGCAGAACGTGGCGCTTTCCGCAATCTGCGGATCTCGTGAAAACGACGACAGCAGGGGCATATATCGAGTACTGGAGCGTCCGTCAAGAATTATTGACGTGACGGGCGACGGCCCGCTGGAGATGCATGAGGTGGAACAGCTGGAGGACGTCCTGCGTCTGTATGAGGAAAATAAGCGGTTAAAACAAGAAGAGGAAGAGAATAATGACGAAGAGGAGAGTCTCCGTGAATCCGTAGTGACTTGTGACGATGATAAGATGGAGGTGCCCGAGCGCCTCATGCAATCGCCCCTCTATGCGCTCTGTATTGCGGATAGGCCGTCGAACCAGATATGTGCCGATTGTGGTGAAAAATGGCCCACATGGGCCGTACTGGGGCCATTTGGTTGCTTTGTTTGTATTCATTGTGTCGGCGTACACCGACAACTTAGGCCGCATTGCTGTCGCGAAGTGCAGTTGGACAATTGGGACGCAGCAGAGATTGATTTTATGGCCAAACGTGGTAACGACGTTGTGAATGACGAACTTGAGTATGCTGGATTTTTTTTAGGCAGCGGAGATGCTGTATACAAGCCGGTGGGTAGTTCCTCCCGGCGTGAGGTGCGGGAAGAGTACATCACGTTGAAGTATGAAGGAACCTTTACGAGGGAACGTAATCCACATGTTCTACAGGCCATGCTACCGCCACCCGATCGAGACGTGCAGGGTCATTTGGACATATCAAAGCACGGGGCCCTGAATCATGATGGCCCACCGCAGTATATCGGTGTGGCGTATATAAATGTTCGTGAGGTGGAGGGTATCCGCAGCAGCGGTGCCGTGTTATCGCTTACGAACGGGTTCCAAGAGGTGCGTAGTCGCGCCGGTGTTGTTCCTAGCGGTCCTGCTAAGAACAACCCTTGCCATGCATGTACGTGTTGGGAGGAATCCTTTCAGCTGGGTGTGTACAGTGTCACTGCCCCGCTCTTCATGGCGCTGTACACTAGCGGCGATGAGTTACTTGGAGCCGCGGAGTGGCGACTTCCCGATGGCGTTGCCCTTCCCGGTTGTGAGCCCCAACTTGTGAAGGTGCCGTTGTTTTGGTGTTTGCCTTCGGAGGGATCTACGTGGCCAACCTTCAATCCCTTTGGCGGGGGACGTCGTCACCGGAGGCGGGACGCTGAAAAGTGGCACCAACCGCTGTTGTACATCACCGTCTCGTTTGCTCATTTTGGATGATTCCCTCCCCTCGCCCGACTGGTCTCTCACAGCCACGCTTTCCTGCGCGAGGTGTGGGTGTAGATGGTGGGGTGTGCCAACGGGTGATCTGGTGTACATTGTCTCGGATGGGTTTGAAGGAACTTTGCATTTGCGCTTAATGAGAAAGAGGGAACAAAAAGCGGAGAGAAAAAAATAAAGACGATAAAAGCAACAACAACAACAACGGTCTCAGAGTACTGTGAAACTGAAACTTTTGGTGGTGAAATGAAACATGCCCATGATGTGGAGTTTTTTTTTTTTTCTTTGGTCTATTCCTCTAATTCATCGCCCCTTATTTTATATATATATTTTTTTCTGTAGAAGAACGGTTTCTCATTTTGCGACACAAAAAAGAAGAAAAGGAAAGCAAGATTTTTTCTACCACTATTAATACGCGATAACAAGGAAAGGATAAGAAAGTGAAACTACATACACACACAAATTCATATGTTCTTGACGCCAAAGGTACTACCACTTTGGGTGCTCATCGTCACCACACTGACGTTCTACACACTTCGTGCGAATGACCCAGTCAATCTAACACAATACCAAGATAAGTTGTACGGTGTGCCGCTTTCGACGGTGTGTCTTTTGCCGCTTCTGCCGTTTTGTGTGTGGGGGTGCTACGAGGTCATCCGCACGGTGGGACCGAAAGGCTCAAGTGTGGCCATTGAGGTCTACGACTGAGATCGGTCACGATGGCACCGCTTAGCCAACGACGGGGTTGGCACAAGTGCAATCAGGGCGACTAAAAAAAAAAAAAAAAACGATAGGGTTACGTGGGTCTGCGCATTGCATTTGGTTGTGTGCGTACGGAACAAAATGACAGTTTCCCTTCTTGCAACAAGATAACGGTCTATTTCCTTTTTCAACTGAATATATATATATATATATATATATATATATATCCTATTTTTCCCTTCACTCCCTATATATTCTTAGAGTATAGCTTGACCACATAGTCGGTGGAAGAAATTCGTGGAACCGCCTTCGGCGGCACGGAGGGAAAACAAAGGAAAAAGAGGTAGAAAGCACTGGAGGTGAAGTGCGCAAGGCAGCAACAGCAGCAGGGTTTTTTGTTTCTTTTTCTGTGAGTGATCTTAAAGGCACTTGTAACACCGTGCAAAATGCGTCGTGTCTGGCGCACTATGATTGCAGCAACCAGCTGGCATGCCAGGGGTCGAATGCGAATTATATATGAGTCCCATCTACAACTTCAGAGGGCACGGTCGGCGTCATCTGCGCCACCAAGGGCTGCACCTGCTGCACCAGAACCACCAAGGGCTGCACCTGCTGCACCAGAACCACCAAGGGCTGCACCTGCTGCACCGGAACCACCAAGGGCTGCACCTGCTGCACCAGAACCACCAAGGGCTGCACCTGCTGCACCAGAACCACCAAGGGCTGCACCTGCTGCACCGGAACCACCAAGGGCTGCACCTGCTGCACCGGAACCACCAAGGGCTGCACCTGCTGCACCGGAACCACCAAGGGCTGCACCTGCTGCACCGGAACCACCAAGGGCTGCACCCGCTGCACCGGAACCACCAAGGGCTGCACCTGCTGCACCGGAACCACCAAGGACCGCACCTGCTGCACCGGAACCACCAAGGGCTGCACCTGCTGCACCGGAACCACCAAGGGCTGCACCTGCTGCACCAGAACCACCAAGGGCTGCACCTGCTGCACCAGAACCACCAAGGGCTGCACCTGCTGCACCAGAACCACCAAGGGCTGCACCTGCTGCACCAGAACCACCAAGGGCTGCACCTGCTGCACCGGAACCACCAAGGGCTGCACCTGCTGCACCGGAACCACCAAGGGCTGCACCTGCTGCACCGGAACCACCAAGGGCTGCACCTGCTGCACCGGAACCACCAAGGGCTGCACCTGCTGCACCGGAACCACCAAGGGCTGCACCTGCTGCACCAGGACCACCAAGGGCTGCACCTGCTGCACCGGAACCACCAAGGGCTGCACCTGCTGCACCGGAACCACCAAGGGCTGCACCTGCTGCACCGGAACCACCAAGGACCGCACCTGCTGCACCAGAACCACCAAGGGCTGCACCTGCTGCACCGGAACCACCAAGGGCTGCACCTGCTGCACCAGGACCACCAAGGGCTGCACCTGCTGCACCAGAACCACCAAGGGCTGCACCTGCTGCACCGGAACCACCAAGGACCGCACCTGCTGCACCGGAACCACCAAGGGCTGCACCTGCTGCACCAGAACCACCAAGGGCTGCACCTGCTGCACCGGAACCACCAAGGGCTGCACCTGCTGCACCAGGACCACCAAGGGCTGCACCTGCTGCACCGGAACCACCAAGGGCTGCACCTGCTGCACCGGAACCACCAAGGGCTGCACCTGCTGCACCAGAACCACCAAGGGCTGCACCTGCTGCACCGGAACCACCAAGGACCGCACCTGCTGCACCAGAACCACCAAGGGCTGCACCTTCTTCGTCGTTTGTCTCTGCGGGTAAGAATGTTCGTTTGGGTACTGAGGATAATAAAATACGTGGTCATAGGAGACGTGGCGGAGAACGTGAGGACCGTCATCCGGGTAAGCGTGGTGGGTCTTTTCAATTCAAGGGGAAATCCACCGCCTCTGGGGCAAGAGAGGGAAGTAAACGCCTTTCTCTTAATGATATTATTGATGATGTGGGAGAAATAAAGGTGGTGTTTGCGCAGCGTGGGACCGATAAGCCTTCTCACTCTGCGTCTCCTCCCTCACCGCCTATTGCGCCTTTGGCACCATTACCGCCATCACCTCCTCCCTCACTACCGCAACAGACATTGCCCTCTTTCAGTGCACCCATTCCATCTACAGGTGGAACTGGCGAGAGTCTTTTTTCAGCTCCCGTCGGCACCTCACAGGAAGGTGAGGATGACATTTTTTTCACTATTGCACCGCGGACGTCAGAAGAAGTTTTTCAGGGAAAGACGTGGCCCAAAAGCGTTGGCTTCTCAGTGGATGAAGAAATTGAAACTGCACGTGCAACACGTCCACTTGTGCCTTCTCCTGATGTTGCACAGGAAACAAATGCGAAACTGAGGCTAAACGTTGTGAATGATGACGAACAGTCCATGGCTGATATGGAGCTTGACAAGAATAAATTGAATCCGCTACCTCATAAGGAGGCTGCGGAGGTTGAGCGGCATGAAATTCCAGATGTTGTCAGTGAACGGGCGGACTTTACACACCCAATGCCAAAGAAGGACAGCTCTAAAAATAATGAAAAAAAAGAGCGTTCCACGACGACAGCTTCCTTGAAACCGATGGAGGAATCATCATCATTTCCACTAAATGAAACTGCAACTCCGTCGCCAAGGAATGCGGCGTCAAAGATGCCAGTGGAACGACCACCGTTGGCTCCATGGATGTCAAGCGTTAGGCCGGAGGATGGAGAAGACGCGTCTTGCGCGAAAGTGTCTTTTAAGAACGATGGGTCACCGGTAACAACCATCCTGTTAGAGGCCCAACCAACAAATATCATGTCGCTTGTGAAGTTTTTGCATCGGACAATTACACTCATTGAAAATCAACACATAACTGCTGGTAAGAAGACGGAAGTACTGTTCACGACTTTCCCTACGCTAGGCTTCTTTAACGCCAAACATGGTCCGTTGGAGTTGACGTCGGGTGAGCGTATGGAGTTGCTTCGGGTCAAGGAAAATCTTTTTGCACGCATGGAAAATGCTTCGAAACAAATTCATTTTGTTGCAAATGTTCATGGAGGTGCTATTGAAGACTTTGGAGCGGAATTGTTTTTGGCGTGTCATCACCGTGTGTTGCTGGATCCCGTCCAGGCAACTTTTGGGTTTCCATCGATTAAAGTAGGGGATTTTCCTGCAGCAAGCACCGTGCGCCGGCTAAGCTGCTTTTTTGGTTCACAGCGCACTATTGAGATGGCACCGAGATTCCATGAATACAGTGTGGAGAGCATCATGGATATTGGCCTTCTGGAAGGTCATTCCTCTCCACCTGCTCCCTCGTTTCTTCTTCGTCTTGAGTGCGCCATGCTCGAGTTTCTTTCTAGACCCACACAGAAAGAACTGCTGCTCCGCAAATTGTTTTTCACCAGCGGCTTTGATACATCTGCAGTCCTGGTGAGTCCCAACCCACTGTTGAAAGCGTGGGGACGGTATGCTATGGCCGCTATCGTGCAGGGGAAATGCGCCACTAACAATGATGGTACAGCAGTGCGTACACAGGAAATGAGGTCTGAGAGTATCTTTAGTGAGATGTTATACACCACTCCTGCGATAAACGCAGCCAATGTGTGCAGTTTGGGGTGTGAAATGAAGCGCCGTGTTCTTCCCTCGTTGCCCAGTCGGCGCTTTGTAACATTTCGTGGAGAGGAGATGCAGCAGTGGGATGAAAAAATGAAAGCATTGTCCTCCGCAAAGGATGACTGCGCGGCAGTATTACTGGACTGCTCACAGAGGTTTATTAATGCCACCGCACAGATTGTGGCTTCCCACCAAGACATTTTGGTGAATGTCAATGTGGTTCTTATTGGCGAGGAGCACGTTGCTCGTCCTATTATCTCAACGCTACCATGCAGCGTTGTTGTATCATGTGCCTCACCCTATCGTGTTTCTGCTCTTGGACGACTGCAGGAAGTTCGTGTCTTTGCTCATGATAGTTGTTCATCAGAGGCCTCTGAGACCGCCTTGAATGCGGCGCTTACGTATTTGCAGACTCAAGACAGCCCTTATGTTGTGAGCCGTGGATCTTCTTCTAAACGGCTTATTGCGGCTCTAGCGACGGAGGCTTGTCGACTCACTCAGCACTGTGATGTGGCGTGCATTGAGCGCGTGGCTACGGATGTGCTTGGCCTATTCGTAGGGCCTTTTCATCTGATTGACTACTTTGGCCCAGCAATGGTTATTCGAATGCTGGAAGAGACAAACAACATGAACACACAGGGCAATCCATTGCTGGTTGACTGGCTTCCTGCCATTGCCCACCACGCACTTAATGGCATGCTTAACGATGGATACTTGGGTGTCGATTCACGTCGTGGGGGCTTTTTCTCGTATCGTGAGGACGGCACGGCAATCGCACCGAACGCCGAGGTGTTACGCCGTTACTTTTCTCGCCCTTTGTCTGACACCGAGGTGGCGGATCGACTGCTTGCGGTAGTGGTCAATGAATGTTGCGAGATGATATTGTCCGGTTGTGTGCGGAGTGCCACGGACGCAAATGTCTTGACGATTGCCGCAATCGGTTTTCGTGAGACGACTGGCGGCGCTCTTGCGCTGGCGGATAAAACCGGCATTTCTGCACTTGTGCAGAAGATGGAGGAACTGTCAAACTGGCACGGCCCACACTTGCGTCCCTCGTCACTGCTGAAATGCATGGCACATTCCAAAGTGTCATTTGCCTCATTGTCGGATGCAATGATTCAATCCGCACGCATGTGATGTTTGTTTTGGCCCCCATCGAGTGCGGCAGGTTTTTCAATGGTGTCTTGTTTTTCTCTTCTTTGTGCATGTTTGGGGTGAGGAATAGCGCAATGTTTTTTTGTCTGTTTATTTGTTTTCCTGTGTTAGTTTTTCTGTTCAATTGTACAATGTGTTGACTTTTGCGGCACAATGCGTTGCACTATTATTTTACATTATTATTTCTGTGTTCATAGTCTTTTGTTTTTCTTTGTTTGTTGTTGTTTTTGTTGTGTGTGTGTGTGTGTGTGTGTGTGTGTGACGATAGAGACAGAGGGTGTTGTTGGGTAACGCGCAGACAAGCGGAACAAAACTGGAGAAAGGCATTTGGCTTACGTTTGTTGCAAGGGATACATACATATATAAACATCTACATCTATCTATCTATCTATATATTTATTTATTTATTTATTCAACGCCCTCTCTCTCCTGCCTTGTTTTGCGGGGCTCAGCAGCAGGGAAGAGGAGAGGGAGGGAAAAAGGGGGTGGAAAAAGGAAAAGCGAGAGCAATGAATATGAATGATTTATTGTTTCAGGCCGCTACGCAGACGATTGATGCGCTTAGTTTTACACAAAGCCATGTCATTGATGAGGACTTCCGCGCCCATAGTAAAGCCACCATTAACTCCGTTCGCTCTTTGCAGCGTGAGCAACGCAGTCGCATTGAGCAGAATTATGGCCCGCGTGCCGTCTCCTCGGACGCCATCGCGGCGCAGCTGAGGGCCACGTACCGCGGGGAGACGGCGTCACTTGAACTCATGAAGGAGGCGAACGAACGTGGTGTGCCACCGGCCTTTATGGCAAACATGTCACATAGCAAGTGCCAGGTCTTCAAGAAGGAAATGAAGCGGCGTATTCATGAGTGGGAGCGCGCGTTCCGTGAGGAACACGGAGTCGCCGTGACAGCGCATGACAAGGCGTCGTTGCATCATGTATACGAACTTTACAAAGCGGCGAAAAATCGGCTCAAGGAGACGGAGTCCCCACGGAAAACCGCCTTTGAGCCAAAAGTAGAAGATACCTCCGAGCTTCACCAACCACAATATTATGAAAAAAAACATGAACCATATCAACCGCGGCAGGCGTTGTATGAAGGCGGTGGGAATAACGGAGATGCCGGTAGGGATGAAAGGGGCGGAACGGTTGGGGTGCAGCCTTCTCAAATTAGCAGCACCCAAATGGATAGTGCTGGCAGTAAACAATTTACAACACCGGCTTCCGTAACGTCTTCCATCAATGTGCCGCGGCAGAACTCCCCGTCACGGCCTATTCGTAAAGGGAAGCCAGCGAGTCAGATGTCTGACGATGATCTTGCGACGGAGAAGCGGTATTTAAAATACATCCTTCATCGGTTTGAGAGTGACTTTGAGCAAAAGAATGGTCGCCCCCCGACGAAAAATGACCGACGGGTATGGACAGCGGAATACACTCGTTACGGTGAGTTGAAAAACGAGATTCTCCGTCGCTCAGCAAATGGGAAACAGGGAGAAGCTTCCAATGTAGAGGGGGGAGCCCACACCCGTGTTTCTGCGGGTCCTGTTACAATTCCCGAAAACTTTTAGTGTTTAGATCAATATTTGTACTTGTATTCCCCCTTTAATTCTCTCTTTTTTTTTTTTTTTTTCCTATGCGTCCATGCGTTTTAATTGGGGGGAGGGGGGGGTCACTGTTATTGTTTTATCCCTTCCTTTTCTCATATAGCTCTGTGCGGGATTGTGACGGTGCCTCTGTATACCCGTATTTGCCCGCGTGTAATTCTACGTGTGTGTGTGTGTGTGCAGGCGCATTGCCGTTTATTTGCTTCTTTGCGTTTCTTTTTTTTTCTTTTTCTTTTTTTTTTTTTTTCTCTGGCACCTTTCCGCCATCATTTCTCGTGAAATATTTTTGGCGATTATTGTTTTCGTTGTAACTGTCTTTCTTCTTTGTTGCGTTTGTCCCTTTCCACCCTCTATAGGGAGTGCGTAAGAAGAAAATAAAATAAAATAAACAGGGATAAACGAAGGGAGGCGAAGAGAGCACGGCGTGCGGTGGTCTGTTCTCTGCATGCCGCGGTCGCACAAGATGTCACCCACAGAAGAAATGCGTGGGGCTTGCGATGGCAAAGTCTCCGAGTGGGGTGGGGTTGAAATGGAACAAAACTGCATGTTTAGTCTTGCCGATTACGACTACCCCGACAGACATCTGTTGCGCTCCTTCTGCACCGCCCCTGCCATCCCATGGAGCGCCTTCAACCCCATTCGAGGGAATATCGCATTGCCCAACGAAATTTCTGCAAAGGGCATTACGGAAAGCCTTGCAAAGCTATCCGGTAGCAACTGCAATCGGAGCAGCGGTGCCGGTGGCAACAACAACAACACGAATGCGGCGGGAGCCCAAAACAGCATCGCGGAGCCTGTGAAGTCCATTGCTAAGTTTTTCGAGGAGCTCTGCCCGGAACTTTGTGGAAAGAAGAAAGACTCGATGAACCGGGGGGCCACCTATCTATTGTTGGCTGTCGTTACCGGAAGTGTGGAAATTGCACGGCGCTGCCTGGAGCTTGGGGCAGACCCGAATAATATGAGTTTTCTTGGCGACCCCGATGTCGCTGTAAATCAGATGCAGCATGGCTACAGTCCAATGTTCATCGCCGTCATCGCAGGAAGACTAGATGTCATTTCACTTTTGCGTGAATTTGGAGGCAGTATTAACGTGTATGATCGCTGGGGTCGTACCCCGTTGCATGCCGCCCTGGCGATAGGAAATGCGGAGGTGGTAGAATGGCTGTTGTCGGAAGGTGTTTCTCGTTGCATTGGAAGCTGCGTCACAATGCTGCCTGAGAACACCACGTACCCCGGACTGGCACCGCCCATTCCTGCCCTTCAAAACCGCCCCAAGCCATGCAGCAACCCTGCGGAGGCGGACTTGTGTCACTGCCGCCTGAAGGGACCAAAGGGATATTGTGGTTGTGTGGATGACATGTTCCTTCGCTGGTCGTATGATCGCCTGCAGGCAAGTTGGCTCTCCGGAATGGACCTGAGCGCACTGTCGGCAAAATATGCGTCAGGCACCCGGCCTCCATCGTGTGCGCGGTAGTGAATGAGCAGAAAAGAGACAGGGGAAGAAGGAAAAGAAAAGGAAAAAGCAAAAGTTAAAAGTTGACTGCAATTTTTTTTTTTTTTTTTTTTTTGTGGGGGTGGTCTTTGGTATGAGGCCCCAACCCCATCGATATATTTCTTTCTTTTTGACCTTTTACCGTTTGGGCATGCGTTAATGACGCGAAGCGCATTAAAAAAAAAAAAAAACATTTATCTCCAATGGTTTCCTCCACAGTAGTCATACTCTTTTTTTTTTTTTTTTTTGTTTCTATCTCTGTTTTAATTCTTCATTGGTGTTTGTTTACTTGATGCAGGGGAATAATTGAAGTCATAAGGGCAAAACACACAACAAACAAACAAACAAGCGGACAGACAGAGAGGCAAAGAAAAGGAGGAGGAAAGATATATATATATATAGAGAGAGAGACGTGAGCTGACAGTTGAGGAAAAGGAAAATAAAAATAAAAACCAAATCGAAAAAAAAAGAAAAAAAAGGAAAAGAAGAGAAGGCGCTTAGAAAGGAAAAAAAGAAAAAAAGAAAAAAAAGGTGAAAATAGGGCAGCAACAACAAAAACCGAAAAACGAAAAGGGTTACTTTATATTTATATTTATATTTATAATTATTGTTATTATTATTTATTTTTCAATGCCTTCATACGTGACAACTGAGACCCTTATTGATGTTAAGGGGGACGTGGAGCAAATCGCGGCCAAGGCCGACATTTGGATGGGCTCCCCCTCGGAGGCATGCAACAAACAGAGTACTACAACACCCCCTCTTTCACCGCAAGAGACGGATGATGCACGTCAAGAGGAGGAAGAGGCTGTGAAGGCCAGTAAGCAAGCTGAACAACCGCTACAAGAGCCGAGGAAGAATGGTGAGGAAATGGAGTCCTGTTCTTTACTGTTCAAAATTGGGGTGTACATGTCGTTTGGCATGTTGACCTTATTTTCTTTATTTTATGAATTCTATTACAGGCTTTTTCAGAAGGAAAAGGAGCGGGATGGATATGCGCCATTGTTGAAGGGCTTTGACCGATATTGGCAGAAATATTTTTATCAACGTATCCGTGACTGCTTTAATTATCCGATTGATTCCCGCCCATCACGTGTCATTGGCGTCATGGAGCGTGTTTCTTACGATTACAATGAAAATTTCTCCCTAACTGGAAATATTTTACCTTGTGTAAATTTTTCTTCTTACAACTATCTTGGCTTTGCGTCTGATATTCCGAGTATTACGCGTCAAGTGCTTGACAGTATTGACCGGTATGGAATTGCATCATGCAGTCCCCCGCAGCTGGCAGGGCAACACCAACCCGTTGCGCAGCTTGAACGCGCTATTGCGGATTTTTTGAGCAAGGATGATGCTATTGTCTGTGGCATGGGGTTCGGTACAAATTTTCGTGGGCTTCCCGCCCTCTTTGGGAAGGAATCGTTGGTCATCTCAGACAGCCTCAACCACTCATCGCTGGTGAACGGCATACGCATGTCCGGCGCACGCACAAAGGTATTTAAGCATGACGACTTCCAGCAATTGGAAACAATTCTGCGAGAGGCGGTGGTTCTTGGGCAAAACCCCCGCGGGGAATATTTGCCGTGGACTCGGATCATTATCATCATTGAGGGTATTTACAGTATGGAGGGCGAAATTGCCAATTTGCCGCGGGTTGTGGCACTCAAGAAGAAGTACGGAGCCCTTCTGTTTGTAGATGAGGCCCACTCCATTGGTGCGATTGGGCGTACGGGTCGTGGCGTAACGGAACACTGCGGCGTTGATCCGAAGGATGTGGATATTCTCATGGGTACCTTCACAAAGAGCTTTGGTGCCATTGGTGGTTATATAGCAGGGGAACAGAGGGTAATTGATTACCTGCGTATACACAGCTCCATCTCTCTTCACTGCGACACGATTGCCCCTCCTTGTGCACAGCAGGTCTTGGCTGCCCTGGAAGTGATTTCTGGTCGTGACGGGACGGATATCGGTCGAAAACGCATTCATCAACTCAAAGAGAATTCTCAATTTTTAAGACGGGGTCTCATCGCCCAAGGCCTCATTGTGCTTGGGGACGACTCCTCACCGGTGATTCCAGTTATGTTGTACCGCACGGGTGCGATGCCAGTGATGGCGAGGGAATGCATGCGACGAGGCCTTGCAATTGTCATTGTTGGGTATCCGGCTACACCACTTCTGGGTGGACGCATACGTTTCTGCGTTTCCGCGGCACACACCCGTGATGATCTCCAATTAGTGCTGGATGTCATTAAGGACATGTCTAAGCACGTGCAGCTTCAGCTTCGCCCGATTCCAAAGTCCTTGCAAGAGTAGTAATGAATACCCAATACTAGGATCTCAGTATCGTTTGTATATATATATATATATATATATATATATATATAGATGTAGATGTATATAGTGATTTTCCTTTCTGTTGTACTCTTTGCCCCCTGTCATTATCGTTTTCTTTTCTTTTTTTTTTTTTTTTTTTCTTTTTTTGGTTTTTGTTTGTTTCTGGGGCTGACTTTTTTATTTCTTTGTTGTATTGTGTGTAGCACCTCTTCTCATTTCAGAGGTTTTTACAGCCCCCCCCCACCCCAAAAAAAAAAAAATAAAATAAAAATAAAATATAATAAGAACAGTTTGTGCGAAGAAAAATAAAAAAAAAAAAGGGAATGAAAATGTCTTAACTGCCGGTCTTTTTGTATTGTATGCCCTGTAATATATATATATGTATATCATGCATGTATGTATGTATCTTCTTTTTATTTATTCTTTTATTTTTTAGCGGCATGGCCCTGGTACGATGGCATCAAGCCGAGTATCCGCACCACTCTTCAAGAGACATAAGGGCGTATACATGTATGCATGCATGGTATACATGTGCCTGGGCGAGGGAACAAGGGACCAGCGAAAAGGAAAAAAAAAAAAAAAAAAGGAGGTGAGGGGGAGGTGGATGAAGAGGAGAATGAAATAACCGTAATTTATAACACAAAATTATAAAAGTAATTTTATTGTTTTCATGTGGTGTGTGGCTGCGAAAAGAAGGAAAGGAAATGAAAAAAAAAAAAAAAAAGAAGTAGTATTATTAGTAGTAAGAGGTTGTGGATGGCAGGAAAAAAAAAAAAAAAAAAGGTCAAGCAGTTTTTTCCTCTTCATCCTATTTTTTTTTTTTTTTGTGTTTTTGTTTTTGTTGTTTTATTATTATTTATTATTTCTTTTACTTTAACTAATTGTTTGTGTCTCCTGTTAGGAGTGCTACGCCAATGTCTTTTTCTTTTTTCTTTATTATTGTTGTTGTTGTGTGTCTTTGATTTTAATTTGAATGAAGAGAAGAGAAAAAAAAAAA